AAAAAAAAAAAAAAAAAAAAAAAAAAAAAAAAACCACCACTGAGATTCCACCTTACTCCAGAAAGAATGGCTAACATCAAGAAATCAGACAACAAATGTGGGGGGAGTGCTTCTACATTGTTGGGAATGCAAACTAATATGACCATTATGGAAATCAGTACAGAGTCCTCAAAATACTAAAACATGAAATTCCTTCCAACCCAGCTATTCCTCTCCTAGGTATCTTCCCAAAGGAGTCAGATATTATATTACAGTGATACATGCATACCATGCTGGTATCAGTACAATTCACAATAGCGACATTTGGAAGCTGCCTATATGTCTATTAAAAGATGAATGGACAGAAAAATATGGTTTTATACATAATATAGTACTATTCTGCCATAAAGAAAGATAAATTTGAGTTATTTGTAGAAAAATGCATGACTTTTGAGACTATAATGTTCAATGAAATAAATCAGACACACAAGCCAATAAGTATCAATCACATAATTGCACTTATATAAGGTACCCAAAATATAAAGAACAAAATAAAACATAACAGGGAAAAATGAAAAGGACAAAATCATATTGTATATTTCTAAAGTACTTGGAAATCAAAGAGTGTTAGTAACCAAATGATTCTTAAGCACAAGTGCTCCTTTAACTGGGTACATAAGAGATCATTTGCCCTAATAAACAAAATCACAATCACAAAATGAGAACACTTAACTGCTTACAAAATTACTTTTTTACAAAATGACTAATTATCCCTCTAAAATAAAGTTTTTAAAATTTCCTTGCCAAATACAATGTTATCTTCAAAAAGTCAGCTATTTTAAGTTTATAACATTTCCCCATTCTTTGTTTGTCTTTTTTTCAGCTTTACTGTGTGTGTGTGTGTGTGTGTGTGTGTGGGTGTGTGTGTGTGTCGCACCTGCCTCACAAGCACAAGGTCCTGAGTTCAATCCCTCCTACCAAATAAATAAATTAATTAATTAAAATTAAAATTAAAAATAATAAGTAATTTTAAAAAATAAAGTATACTATGTGAAGCCAGGCATGATGCCATAAGCCTATAATCCCAGGACTCCAGAGGCTGAAGCAGGATTACCTTGAATTCAAGGCCAGCCTGGGCTACATAATGAGTTCAAGCCCAGCCTGAACTACACAGTGAGACTTTGTCTCAAATAAATAAATAAATAAATAAACAAACAAACAAACAAACAAATAAAATATATGTCATATTCAATATATAGAGTCCACCAAAAAATGTAGACACACTTCAGGAAAAGAAAAATACTATGATGCTTTTTGAAAAGATGGTGTTACCTACATATGGGGATCCTAGAGGATGTCATATATCACAGAAAATCCACTATACTGCTGACCCTTAGAGAAGAAACAGAAAATGTATATGCAGGGCTGGGGATTTAGCTCAGTGGTTCCACCACCTGCTTCGCAAGTGAAAGGTCTTGAGTTTGATCCCCAGTTCCAAAAAAAGAAAAAGAAAAAAAAAAGAAAATGCATGCGCAGCAATCTCAATGGATCAAGGTTACCCAAGCAGCAGTTCATCATACTAAGAAATGTCTGGAAGCTAACGGCCACCACTTTGTGGTAACTATAGAGGCCAAAGTAACTTGTACTAATCTCATGATATCTCAATAAATTCAGTATTAAAATATTTATACATGTTTTCTTTTCTTGAAGTGTCTACTCATTTTTTTGACGGACTTTGTATACTTTGTGAAATCACTATCATCAAGCTAATTAACATATTTATCACCTCATAGTTACCTTTCTTTTTTAATTGAGAACATTTAATATCTACTCATGTAGCAAATTTCTAATATAAACTTCCTGAATTCTCTAGCCCTAACTGTTTAAATACTCATGAGCCACTTAATTCTCTCTTAGAAACTATTTTATTTCAGAAGCATTTTCACTCTAAAGACCAAGGAAACTGCCTGGCTTACAGGAAACCAATAGATATATTCTGCATGGAAAAATAAGAATTTAAACTATTAGCCAAATGATTATATGGCAAAGGCCTTAATATATATCTGATCCTTTATTTCTGAGACAATAATTAGGCCAAGATTTTCAAGATAATAAACACATATTATTTTGAACGCTTTACTGAGCTCTGAGAGTTAGATAATGTAGGGGATGTAGCTCAGTGGTGCCATGCCTGCCTGACAAGAACAAGATCCTGATCCTGAGTTTCATCTCCAGTTCCGGGGGCGGGGGTGTCAGCTAATATAAAATTCCTCAAGGAACTCAGCTGAGACAGAGATATGAACAAAATATAATCATACTATACTATATGTAAAAAGTCTAAGAGAGGGACACCCAGTAAGCATCTCATGGCTAATGGATGAATAACAAATAAATCTAATGTTTAGCGCCAAAAAGCCACTAGAGCTGAGCCTTAAAGAAAACTATGGTTCACCAAACGGTTATCAGGGACACTAAATCTATTAGAAGAAACTCAACTGAGAAGAACTTTTCACAGTGAGGCAGAAACATAAAACAAACAGCAAAATAAAGCTGTAAACAAGCAGTTCTGTATGGGATTCAGGATGAGGGTCTAGAGTACCTGACCCTCTGCAGTTCTTTCACTCCATACTGTAGACAGCTTATCAAAATGTTCACTGCTAAGGGACAGCTAGTTTCTGAAACCTATGAAGATCACTTGTGGGTACTCTGTTGGTTTTAAAATATGTCCACAAATTGTAAGAGACTCTCCCTTTTGAAAAGTGGAAACTAATTCCCTAGCCCTTAAAAGAAGCATTTTAAAACTGCCTCACTTGTTAACAAATTAGTGTAGCAAGACAGACTGTATTGTGTTTGAGTTTAGCACATAAGCAGACTGATTTTCACCTGCTAGGGAAAGCCAGATGCCACACATGAGGAAAATCAAGCAGCACTATGAAAAGCAGAAAAAGCTGCAAGAACAAGGTCTGAACTGTCAACAGCTGGGGTATCTCCCTCCCTAATCCAACCTTCAGATGACACCAAGTCAGAACCAACCAAACACCTCCCAGACTGCTGACCCACAGGTACAGGATAGTAGGCAGAGAATTATATTTTGTGAGGTTTTTGTTTTGGCTTTTGTAAATAGTCTCACTATGTAGTTCAGGCTGACCTTGAACTGATAGTGATCCTCCTGTCTTAGCCTCCCAAGAGCTGAGATTACAGGTATAAGCCATTTCGGAATTTTGAAATGGAAAAAAGTTACCAACAAGAACTGTGAAAATACATGTGCACATATGTAAGATTTATTAATAAGAGTTCCCGGTCTGTGCAAAGTGCTACATACGAACATCTTCAAAAGTCTAGTTAACAAAACTAATACACTCTAAATACATGTCAGTACATGATGGATGAGACAATATCAGGACAGGACAAATTTTAAGTACGTGGCGTATCTAATATTAGCTAATATTCAAATGTTACCTTGTGAAACTGTTTACCTGTTTACGAATGTTAATGTCTGCCTTAAGAGGGCATAAAAGTTAAAAGTCTTTGGATCCCAGGCTTTCAGGGCAAATCTACTACATTCACAAAATATCCAAGAAAATAAAGTTTCTCATTCGAATATCTTAAATTCGTGTGGGCTACTTTCTTGTGCAGAACACGGCCACGTAATTGTTGTTACAGCCTGTAGGTCTCCCCTTTCAGCCAACTATCTACATGGAGAACTTACATTTGAAGGCCAACATCACGGGAGAAGATGAATGAACATCCTTCCCATCTCTTCTTTGGTTATGGGGGAAGTTGTCATGTTTCCTCTTTCTGAACCCTCCTGATCCTTATGGAAAGAAGAAGAAAAGCTGGGAAGGTATCTTCCAACAATATGGAGTGTGCACAAGGGAAGACAGGCAGACACCTCCTTCCTCGAAAACTAGGTACCACCGACACCACCACCACCACCCCACCTCCCCGGCCCCGGCCGCAGAGGCCTTCTCCACAGACGGACAGCAAAAGCGGGCGGCCCTGTCTTCACCCGCCACCCAGGTTTCTCCTAATAGAACCGTGACCCGGCAGAGGCAGCTGTTACCGAACTGGATGAACGTACAACTCCGAGATTTAAGAAAAGGGGGGTACAAGTAAAGCCAATCTGGCGGGAATGCCCTACAGTCGCCCCGAGCGGGCAAGGAGAGAGGGTGAGGAGGGCATGCTGCACAAAAGGCTGGAGGGCCCCCACTTGCGAGGAGGCCGCCCCGCGCCGCCGGGGACGCCACCTTCTTTGTTGCTCATGTCGGATCGGCCTTCGCTGCAACGTGCGGACATTGAAGGCGGCCGAGCGCCTGGGACAGCGGGGACCAGCCCTAGCGAGCCAGCGCAGCAAGGGACTGCCTCTTCCGGCTTCCGGCCCTCCTCCGGACGCCGGAGCGATCCAGCGAAGGCACAGTTCCGCCTCTGTCGCCGCCTCGCTAGCCCGGTTGCACACGCTTCCGGCCCGAGTCCAGTTTCGGCGCGCTCCCCCGGTTACGCTCGCTTCCGACCTAGAAGCTGCAGTCTGCGCTAGCCGCAGCGGCAGCTGCGCACCCTTCCGTGCAGCATCGCTTCCGGCCCTCCTCCGGACGCCGGAGCGATCCAGCGAAGGCACAGTTCCGCCTCTGTCGCCGCCTCGCTAGCCCGGTTGCACACGCTTCCGGCCCGAGTCCAGTTTCGGCGCGCTCCCCCGGTTACGCTCGCTTCCGACCTAGAAGCTGCAGTCTGCGCTAGCCGCAGCGGCAGCTGCGCACCCTTCCGTGCAGCATCGGGGGCTGTATCCCGGCGCGCTGTGTGACATCGGACAGGCGGACAGAGGCCTAGCGACCCTGGCGGCCTGCAGAGTCGGGAGCTTTTGAGGTCCTAAGTGGCGCAACTGTGTGGACCGGGAAGGACGGAGCCTGGCTGATCGGTGTACTCTTCCTCCTCAGCCACCACCCTTGCCCTCGGCTCGGGGTCAGGCTGCGCGCGGACGCGCCTCCGCCTCCACTGTGATCTGTAAAATGAGAGTAGCAAGCATCCTCCTTGTGGGATTGAGGATTAGAGTTTATGTTGAGCTTATTGAGAGTGAACTTTGAAAACAAACAGAGGTAGATAGATGCCTCGCAAGTGCAAGGTCTTGAGTTCGATCCCCGGTGCAAAAAGAGAGAGAGAGGTAGAACAGTCAGTAATAATAGATGTGCACTGCTTATTGGGAGTCTGTTTTATAGACAGGTACCACCTTTCCTTCCAGGCCATGTGAGCACCTACAGACTCTTGTTATACTGTGCCCTGACGCCCTGAGCCTTCTGTTGGTGTTTCTATAAGAATTTACAGTCCCATTCTCAGGATGAGTAGGTGGCAATTCAGCACCCTCTAGAGATAAACAGATTGGGTCACATCCTTATTGTAAGTATGTGTTATACACAGTCCTTATGCCTTGTTAATTTAGAAACAAAGGGGCAGTAAATGAGATCACTTGGCTAGAATGGCAGTAATTTCAGGGGCATGGCAGGAGCGTCACAGGAAGGTTTTCTGCTTTGAGTGATCTTTAAAGTGTCTTTGAAACTCCAAAGCAGGAAAGTAAGAATCACCCAGTGCACTTTAGGGGCTCAGTCAACACGTGAATTGCTTAGCCGAAATCCTGGTGGATATAGTAGGCTCCTGGGAGATTGGGGCCTTGAGCACAAAACTCACTTGGATTTGACTTCTGACCCTGTTGATACCCATGAGTATTTCCCTGTCTTTACTTTGAAGGTAACATGAGCATGCCAAAAAAGACAACACTCATATAAATTAGTTGTTTTAATGCAGCTTCCTCTAGATTTAAGGAAGCTACTTGTTTTTTTTTGTTTGTTTTTAGACAGGGTCTTGCTATGAGTTCAGGGTGGCCTCAAACTTGTGGCAATCCTCCTGCCTCAGCCTCCTGGGTGCTGGGATCACAGGTGTATGCCACCATGCCCAGCCCTAGTCAATGCTTGATTTACCAGATTCTTGGAAAAGAGCATTTTTCCTGACTCTTGAAATACAAGGCAGCTTCCAAGATTTTAACTTTCCAAAACCTGGATCACTCATAAACTCTTCATTCTCCAGCCACCACTCCCTTGGCCTTTTCCATTACAGCTTTATTACCTGAACTACTTACACTGCTTCCCATAAATGTAATGGTTAGAACACTAATAACCTAAAATTACCTCTGAAGGCATGCAAAGGAGGTGAATTCCCCCCGACACTTTCCCAGCACTCATTTGCATATAGACTTCCCAGGTGCTCTCCCATCCCAGCCATAGCTACACTTTTGTTGGGAAACATCTTCCAACCCCTGTGGCAACTGTTAGGTTATGGTCCTGGTCCAATTCTGGTTTTTGGCTCTTTTTACCTAACAGCCACCAGCAGGCTGAATTCCTACTCCTTGTTTTATTGCTTCAGGTAAAAATACATAGTACTTTGTAAGGCAGTTCCCTTGTTTTTTTAAAGAAAAATTACTCTCCCAAGTCAGGAAGGTAAGCGCTTTTGTAAAACCATATTTGACTCTGATTAAAGGTCTAAGCCTTTCAGTTGCACCTGCTGTTATTCAGTGTATAAATCCTCTCTTTGGTCACCTTTATAGGAAAAATATCACATATCAGAGTTGGGTTTAGATATTCAAGGAAAAATATAGCCAAGTGAAAAAAGAAGTGTAGGTCCTCAAGAGATTACATATTTCAGCATTTCCCTTGTGTAGTTATTAAGTAAGTGGGGGGTATAGTGAATTGCCAGAATCTTGAGTGAGCTTTTTCATTTTATTATTTTTGCAGTGTTGGGGATCAAATCCAAAACCTTGGATTGTGGGGAGCTAAATTATTTAGATATACAATAGGCAGTTAGGCAGGGCTGGGCCCTCAGGAGAGTCAGCACAGAAGACAATTATGGCTGCAGGCACATTCACTGAAGGCCAGGCTTCAATAAAAAGGACAACTACAGCCACATACTTTGCCTAGGGATGAACAGCAGTGACTGATATTCTAAATAGGCATCAATCACCTGGGTGGGAGAACCAAGACCTTAAACCATTCCTTGTAGAAAGGTCCCTGCGCCATCCCTTCCCTGAAAATTCTTGTTCAAATCCATATATGCTTAAGACTTGCTTCCCATTTGATCCCCATTTAATCAATGTTACCTAAGCAACTATACTTTTTCTATTGTTACTGGTCAACCATAGTTTCGTCCTACCTCATACCCACCTTGTGATTTCCCATTGGATCGATATTACCTAAGCAACTATAATGGTAATACTATTAGTTATAGTTTTGTCTCACCTTCTACCCGTCTCACCTCATGGCTTTGCTCAGTTGAACTCCCTTGAGAAGCAGGGTCAGGGGGCAACCCACTTTCTGGGCCCTCCTGTCTTTCTTAGACAGGAACTTACTTTCAATAATTTTTTTCTACTTGTAGCCTCTATTGTTCCTAGTATCCATTCTTTGAGTTTAGAGAACAGGAACTCTGCACTCAGACATCTAGCAGGTTGGGAGTTACATTGTTTCCCTTGTATTATTTGGAGGTCCATAGAGCATACAACCCTGTGTCACTTGCACATGCTAAGCGAGCACTGTACCATTGAGCTACATCCCCAACCTTTGACCATTTTAAAGAGATAACCATACTATTTAGAAAATGCTGATGGTATCCAGAGTGAAGTATGCATATACCAATTCACACGTTTATTTTTTCAAGCAAGCAAGGTGTAGATAAAAAATGTTCTCTATACAAGAGGGAAACATTTGCCGGAGCAAAGAGTGTTGGGCTAAACCTCAGTGAAATACCATTCCATATCCATTAGGATGCTTATAATAAAAAATATTGTTGATGAGGATATGGGAAAATTGGTAGCAATATTAAGTGGTCCACCCAGTGTAGAAGATAGTTTGGCCCAGCTCTTGTCTGTACACAGATGTTCATAGTAGCACTATAAACAATAACAAAAAGTGGAAATGACCCCAAATGTCCATCAGTGAATGAATGGGTAAATGAAATGGTTCATCTGTACCACAGAATGTTACATGGCCCGGAGAGGAAGAAGTATCATCCATCCATAGCCCTGCATGAATGAGCCTTGAAAATAGCTAAGTGAAAGAAAACCTGTCAGGTCCAGGCATGTAGCTCAGTGCTGTCTGGCCTGCCTGACAAGGACAAGGTTCTGAGTTTGATTCCCGGTACCAGGAAAAAAAAAAAAAAAAAAGGAAAGAAACCTGTGTCATAGGAAGCCACCTATGCAAGATTCCATGTATATGAAACATCCCAGATAAGCAAATCTGTAGAGACAGACAGTAATACATTGGTAGTTTCTTTGAGCTGGAAGTCATGGAGGAGCGAGAGAAGAATAACAGCTAAACGGTATGGAGGTCATGAAAATGTCCTAAAATACACAGTGGTGAAGGTTGTATGTACCTAAATACACTAAAAATCCTTGAATTGGTCCTGTTAAATGATGAGTTAGATGGCTGTGAATTATACTGTAGCAGTCAGAAAATTTTTAAAGAGTGATGGAAACGTTTCTTTAGAATCTTGTATGTACATGCAAATATATAGAGAAATCCTTGTTCCTTCCATGTATGCTTGCGATGAGACTTGCTTCCTCATTTGATCCCCATTTAATATTACCTAAGCAACTAGTAGTCATTAGTTAGCTGCAGTTTTGTCCCACCTTGTACCTGCCTCACTTCGTGGCTTTCCCCAATAAAACACCTTTGAGAAGCAGTACGGTTGGGCAACCCACTCTCCCATCCTCCTTTCTCTCTTAGAAGCTTTCTTTCAATAAGTTGTTCCTACTCTTAACCTCTGTTGTTCTTAGAATTCATTCTTCAATTTTAGAGAACACGAACTCGGTTTCAGAGGTCTAGCAGGTTGGGAGGTACAGTGTTTCCCTTTGGGGATTATTTTGCTTATTAGATTATTTGAAGGTCAACATGTCATGTTCCCTATATCAAGTCTTTAACATTAGGGTTCACACCATACATCTTTTATGGTCTTCTCATTTCCATATTCTTTCAGTTTATCTACATCACTTACAAAAGGCGTATAGTTTGTTAGGTGCAGTGGTGCACACCTAAAATCCTCCATTCAGGAGGCCGAGGAGGAGGAGGGCTATTCAAGGCTGTCCTGAAGAACACAGCAAGACCCTCTCTCCAAGCAAAAGCAAAGCTGAGATTTCTTTCTGTATTCAGTGTGTGCACGCTTATGTTTCAACAGAACCAGTTAGTTTATCTACACTCAGTGAAATTACTGATATATTCAGTTGCAGTGTCACCTCAGTATTTGCCTTTAATTTATCTGCCTCCTTTTCTCCTTGCTTGAAGTCTTTTGGAATAAATGTTTTCCTTGTTTGAAGTACATTTTTGT